CGCGTGGCCGGAAATATACGCCTGAAGAGTACGCCCGTGGGCTCAGATTAGCAATGAGAAAAGACAGCGAGGTTCTCCAAGCTGAAGAGGGGTGCCAAGAGTACGATACTCACAATCACGCGAAGTCCATCCCACAGCGCCGTGCTGAACGACTGGAGATTCGCTGGGGGTTTCCCCGGCAGTACCGCTCGCATAGAGGCGGGTGGGATAGAGGGAGGGGGAGGAACGCTCGTTGCGCGCGAAGCTTCACACCATTGCCAGGCTGAGCGGTCGACTCCCTATATTAAGGTGAGATGGCGGGTGCGAGAAGAAACAAAGGACAATGCTAGCGATCAGGTGCTGGGGTGTTGATGATGCGCAGGGGATCCAAGCGGGTCAAAGTGCGGGTGGGCGATTACGCCCGCCGCTCCACTTGGTGCGGTCACCGCAATCACCTGCCTGCCATATAAATTGATAACTACTACACTACTACTACTATTTACTCAGACAGATTCAAGTTTCCAAGCTTGCTGTTAAGTGTTCCTCATATTCATTCAAGTTCATGTATGTACAGAAAGTACGTACTTGGTAGTAGTTATTATGGTTCGGTACTCAAACAGAATACCGCCATCCCTCCATTCCTCCTCATATGCTACGCCGGGTATGCATGGTATGAAACGAAAAGCTTGGAACGCAAGGATCGCAGGACAGTGATATAATGGTCGTTGATGTACAGGTGCTGTGGAAAGGAGAAAATTGGATAGAGTGTCGTCATATATCGGGAAAGAAGTGGTCAAGGTCGTCGATTTGCAGATCTGCGGCCATCTGTTGGGGATTCGGGCAGCTCTTCGTCTACAAACCGAACACTGGTCCCAATCGAGGTTCGGCGACCTGTACGTGGACGAAACGAGGAGGCGGTTTGGGCGGCGGAATTCGAAGCGCGGAGGAGTCGACTGGCGAAAGGTGTGTGGAGCGGTGTAGCTGGGGTGGTGGACATCTGCGCAAGAGCTCGGGCTCGAGCCGCTCGTTTGGATGGCGATGTCAGATAACTGGGTGTGGCCAGCGGGCTTGCGGAGACTGCGGAGACCGGCTCCTGGGAGGTTGCTGTGAAATCGCTCATCTTGAATGGCGTTTCTGATGGGTTCTGGTACCATGGATCAAATAGAGCAGACCCAGGGCGACTACCTCCTTCGAAGCTTGAATATCGCGCAGGCGTTAAGGCAGGGCCTGCCGAGTCGCGAGCCTCCAATTTGATGCGAGCTTCATCCACCCAGTTACGGAACAGGGATCGAGAATGCTTTCGAAGGTTTCTTTCTCGCATTGCCTCTGCGGTTTCAACTGTGCTTCTCATCTGAAAGATTCGGAGGCTGAGTTTGCGGAAAGCGGAGCCCGCCTGGCGAAGGATGTGAGAGCGGTATACCGAGTCAGCTTGGTCTTCCATCTCACGACGAATCACGAATGTCTCTGACATTTGTATGAGCTGATCAAAGGCAATTTGATTAAAATAGTGCCTATCGGCTGCCTGGTAGTCCGAGAATCTCTTGACCATTTGGCCATGCCATCCTCGGAATATCACAGAGACAACACCCAGTAGCTTTGTTCTGCTGACGTCTTTGGCTTGTTCCTCCAGATCCACAATGGCCTGCGTCTTAGATGACCAAGTCGACAATGCCTTGGAGGCTATATTGACTTTTATCTTTCGTCTGATTTTAGCATATGCGTCCTTCCGTCGGCGTTTGGAGGACTCCAACGTCGCTTGATGCCAGCGTTTCATGGAACGTTTCATCAAGAAGTAGAATTCCGCGTCGGAAGCCCAGCCTTCCATTTGGATAATCTGTTGATGCTTTGATCTCCAAGCCATAAGAGACTCTTGTGCTAGGCGTGGTGCATAGAACTCAAAAGCTGCATATTCCCGCTCGCGTTGGGTCGCCAGTTGATCTCGCCAAATGGCAAACTTAGACCTTACCAAATCTTCGGCCCGATTGTCTTCGTGATTTTCTGCATGGAATAATAGTCGTGTGTATGTATCTCTCGTATTCGTCACAAAGCGAGAGAAGATCTCGCGCTTGATGCGTTGTTCGTGTATCCTGCGCATGAGTTGAAATCTCTCCATCAAAATCCACTTGTAGATGGCTTCCATTTTTAGCCGCTCATCGATTCGAGCCTGAAGCGCAAGACAACGCAATGTATCGTTCCAGGCTGTCCATGAATTGCGCTGGAGTCGGTATCGGTCCATATCTTCCGCTTGATCAACCAATCGGGCTTTTGAAACCCACCGCGAAAGGGCATTTCGAAGAATTCTAGTTTCCACCATATTGCAGACTCTGGAAGCAGCAGGGGCTAATTGGGTTCGTATCCTCCATTCATCAAATGTTTCTCTGAGAGCCTCTCGGCGTTGGATGCTTTCGGCTTGTTGATGTGCCGAAGCCATAATTCTAGACTTTTGGGACCATTCTTGCAAAACAGATGCGAGCGCAGACCGTCTGTTATGAACGTCGATTTCGTGATCTCGTTCCCGGTTGGTCCGAAAGTTGCGAAGCCAGTAAAGAAGTGAGCGCCGCTTGAGGCGATTGTCATACCATTCAGGAGCTCGGCGGTCGCAAAATCCCCAAAACCATTGCCAGTACGAGGTATGTCGGAGGTTGTCGTGGTGAGTTGTTACTGCCTGGGCTTCCGCTGCTTTGAGATCGGTTATTTTCTTCCGCCACCTACTGAAAGGTTTCCGTAAGGCGAAGCGCTGCGCTTTTAGTTCATTGACTGCAGTTATCTCACGCCAGGCATTGAAGTATTTGATACTCAAGACATGCTGCCGGGCTGCCGATGTCCGGGCGACCTCTTCAGATGTCAGCTGAGCCCAATGCGTGAAAGCCTTTGTCATCAGGTAAAGATCACGGGCTCTATTGGCGCGTTCGTCTAGATGTTTGAAGAACCGTTCGGTTCTGGCCGTGTGGCGCTTGTCCTGGATGATAGCGCGCCATGGCTCGAATGCTTGCCGAAGGAGAGTGTTTCGATCATGGTTTACAGCAATGGTTTCCCTCTTTTCGCGAACTTGTCGTGCTTTCAACGCCCCTCTGAACCATTGTGGAAGAATCCGACGGCATATAGCCCGCTGGCGATACATATTGAAAGTAGACGCATCTCGGAGTAGATCTGAAAGTTGGGGGCGATACAGAAGCTCAGGCGGAGCCTCTTCTTTCGGGAAAGCATCATGCTCGGTGGTCTGGGATACAGCAGATTTGGACTCATCCGATTGGAAGCTATCTGCTGAGCTCAAGGAAGAAGACCGTTGAATCTTCGAAGCCGCTGCAATTCTTTTAGAACGGTCATGGTGGACAGCTGAACGCGCCACTACTCCATTGGTCAGCGGTGGGTCTTCTCTTTCCACCTTCTTTTTCTGCGCATTATCAAATCGACTGATCAGACCTCTGCCTATTTCTAAGAATTGAGCAATCAAATCTGTGCGATCTGGTGATCTGTTTAGATGATCTTGAATGTTAGGCTTTGGCGACAGTCTGGGTGTAGCGAATTCGGGCTTCCCAGTTTGAAGTCTTGACATAGAGGAACGAGAGCTCGGGCGCTCAATGAAGCTTCTTTGAGTCACATCCTCGCCAATATCCACCGTTGTATTAAATGAAGCGCGTCTCCTCGGCGTGATAGGAACTCCATTCGTCTTAGGAATGTGACTGTTCTCGCCGGTTTGGCTGCGTATGTCCTCAAACGAGTATTGTCCGGTTTCAAAAGTTTCGTTGATTGCCGTAGAGGCGTCATCTCCCAGTTCAATCACGATTCCCATTCTTTGGAGTGTATTCTCGAACTTGTCGAAGAGTGTCGTCCCCAGCGCATCTTTGTTCCCCATCTTGAATAGGAATCGCAGGCACGCATGGCCCGGATCGGCATTGGCGCCATGCTCGATGATAACCTCATCGTATGCTGCGAATAGCGCTCGGAATGGAAGCTGTTCGACCTCGGGGTGGCTCTCGGCGCGAATGACAACTTGGTAGAGGAATCCGACATCTACAGGTCACAGAAAGGTGTTACAATCCCAGATCAAAGTTCTCGCAGAGGCGACGGTTACATACCATCGTCAGAGAGGGACGAGTTCTCTTCGGTTGAGGCGCGTCGCTGTGAGGATATCGGAGGCATCGAAAATTCGCGATTTAAAGCGCGCTTGTCGCATCTGGGTCATAAAGACGACGGACCAAACAAATCATGGCGAAGGCGGGTGAATCCCGGTTGAACCAGACATGCGCAGAAACCAGTCTGCGATCGAACCAAAAAAAGAATTAGGAATAGCAAATAAATGGAGTATCAATCCGACGCCATAGATTGCGAATCCGGGTTGTTTTGGTGGTCGCGACAGAAACATGCCCGGACGCACGTGACCATTAGGTAACATTCCTGGCCGGAGGGTTTCCCCATTCAGTTTGGTCTCTCTCGACTACATATTTACCTTCACTCTACAACCTAAGCTCACGGTGTGGTCATCATTCTGATTTCTCCTTCTCTTGGCCGAAATGCCGACAAAGACCCGTCCAGTTGAGAGATTCGCCAAAGCCACTGCCCAATGCTCAGCTCAAGTCAGTATCAACGAACCCCACTCCACATGAGCAAGAGCTAACAGGTCAGGGTAGGCTGCTGCATATGGCAAGTGTGTAGTCACAGACTATACTTCTGTGCACAAGGACATGTGTGCTAAAGAGTTCATGAAACTCAAGGACTGCGTTCTGGTAAGCCAATGATATATTGATATAGTCATTCACGGGCTAATTTCCACAGGCCGCATCCAAGAAGAGTTGAATTCAGCAGCAACCATATTACGGTGCACAGGCTTGCATCTAATTTTAACACCTGTTTAATACGAAAAATGTACCATACGATATCAATTTACCAATTTACTTTCTAAGAACCCAAGGATCTCCTACCGCAGTAACAGCTGCTCACTGTTTGTCAGGCTGCCAGGCCCGCATCTTGGTGTAGTTAATTCATGCCTATTATGATGTATGTCCAATAGAGGCATGAGTTCACAATTTGCTGTCAGCACCGGATATCATTACCCCATTTCCTGAAACATTGAAATCATATACCATGCGCCCCTCAAACCAAGTCTTCAAAACAGTTGCTCCTGCGAACTCACCCTTACTAAGATCTCGATCCACAGCGATGAAATTGGCAGTTTTTCCCACTTCAAGGCTCCCAGTCTTATTTTCAGCTCCTACCGCTTGAGCACCACTAAGGGTGATGATTTGGCATATAATCTCACCTCCTCGTTCCTTTTTGCTCTTTCCTTGTGATAGGGCGGTGCTTTGCCGGCCACCAGGGAAGAACTCCACCCTTTCAACGATCGCAGCCAGCGCGTCAAATAAACTGGGGGTCTCCGGTAGGAGCCAGTCAGATCCAATCGTCATCTGGGCTCCAGTTTCCAGAACCTCGTTGAATGGCCATTTCAAAAGATGTGGGATCTCATTGACCACAGGCTCGTGAAAGATGGCCGGTGACATCTCGGCCGTGATTCCGATTACAGAAAAACGAGCAATATCATCTGTCAGAATAATGTGAGCTGAAGATCATTCGTATCATCATGGTTGCAGAAGCTGTTCATACCCGGGTGTACTGCACTGCAATGTGCCAGTTCATGTCTGGGCCCTTTGGGGTTGATACGCCGCACTTTCTCCAAAACGTCCAACGCACCCCGAGCTGATCCCTCGCCAGCTACATGAAGCTTACATGTCATACCCTGGGCGTCGTATTTCAGAACTGCTTCCTCAAGAAAGTCCCACCCAATGACCATGTTGTGCTTTTCCGGACGCCCTTGCGCATCCAAATCGCATTGTGTGAACTCTGGTGGCAATGGAGCCCCATCAAGCCAGAACTTCACGAAGTTTGTATGCACATGCTTGCTGCGAAATTCTTCTGCAACATCTAATAAAGCTGCCAAGCTCTGACTGGGCTCCATGGCGAATGTCTCAGGAGCGCAGACGATGTGTGTATATACATCCAAATCGAGGCGATTCTCTTGCTCTAATTCACTTAGGGAATAAAGATATAGAGAATTCGCCGATGCCTCTTGACAAGATGTAATGCCATATCGATGACACATACGCATGCCAAATTGCAAGGCCCTCTTAGCGTGCGAAAGTGGTGCGATGGGAAGTTTGGAAAAGACTTGACTCATGGCATTCTCCGCAATCTCTCCAGTAAGGCTCCCATCCGATCGACGAATGTAAAAACCCCCTGGAGGGTCAACTGCGTTGACTGGATCAATTTTGACCTTTCGCAGTCCAGCTGTATTCAGCAGAATGCGGTGACAGGATACCTCGCGTACTAGGATCGGCGTATTCGGGTACTTCTCATCCAAATACTTCCGATCAGGCACACCCCCAGGAAAGAAGCTTGCTTGGTAAAAGTTTCCAATCACCCAGTCGCCAGCAACGTTGTGATATGCACAGACACAGACACCATCTTTGAGTCTCTCGGCGATAGTATCTGCCCCAGAATCAAACCCGATCGATGATTCATTCAATGCTTGCATGCTGGCTATCAAAAGGTGAGTGTGCGCATCGTGAATACCAGGCATCACAAATTTCTGGGCGAGGTCGTAGCGGACCAGACCTCTTGAGCTAGAAATCTTAAGAATTTCTTCTTCAGATCCTATTGCCTCGATAAAACCTGTAGCCGACACAATGAATGCGTCTGCCCACGGTTGGTCGGGATTGATTGTGTATACTCGGCCATTATGATATGCAAGGGAATTATTTGGATCGTTAGAAGAATACATTATTGTTGAAATACTTTCAGGTTGCAGTGAGCTTCCAGGAGCTTACGAAGAATCTTGGAAGTTGATTGTAGCAGCCGTGTAACAATTGGAGAGACAGACTTTAGTTACTTAATAAAGGACTGAACATCACGATTTCCCCGCACAGCGGAATTATGGAGATACAAAGGGGAGTAAACCAGCTGCTAGTAGTCAAATCACTGCAGTAAATATTGCAAACCCTTGGAAGGTAAGCTAATAAATCCGGCATGTATTCCTAAGTAGTAATACGACGCGGTCCTTTAGCTCCTTCGACCCGGATTGATTTCCGCACTTCCGAGGGGGGATTCCGCAACTTCTGGCAGTGCCAATGCCTGTGGTGACCGTGGCGGAGCCTTGTAGTAATCATTTACATGATCTGAAGTTTTGAACTTGCAACAGAAATGATATTTCTTTTCTAATAACCAGAAATGCAGTAGAGTATCCACAAAGACAAAGTTTTCATAAATTCAAGTTAGCGCTTTACAGCTTCAACAAGCGCAACAGGAAGGTGGCGTTCTGCACTTCCTGCTCCTCCTGTGCGATGACTCCCTCCTCATCAGCGCTGGGAGCCTTGCCATCGACAGCCGCACGCTCATCGAGCGGACGACGAACAGCCTTTTCGATAGCCTGAGACTGAGACTTGAATGCATCGGCAAGGCCGATAGAGTCCTTATCATTCAACACGGTGTATTCCATCTTGACGTCATCCGTGGGAACCAGTCCAGCGGCCTTGCGCATGCGTTGGAGACGGTTGATGATCTCACGGCCAATACCCTGCTGCGCCAGCTCGGGGTACAGGTTAGCATCGAGAAGGGTCATAACATCATCATCGGTGTTGATCTCCAGGTTAGAAGCGCCTCCGTCTTCCTTGATGCCTCTCTTAACGACTAGGTCGCCTTCCACGAGCTCGATGCCGTCGACCAGAATCTTCTTGTCGGCGACGAAGCCCTTCACATCCTCACTAGTCAGGTTGGGCAGAGCCTTCTTGACCTTCTGGACATCCTTCTTCAGCTTCTTGCCCAGAGTGGGCCAGTCAGCATTGGCACTGTACTGAACGTTGTACTTGGCCTCGTCAGAAGAGAGCACAAGCTCCAGCACGTTCAATTCCTCCTCGATATATGACGCCAGGGACTTGACATCGTCCAGGTACTGCTGGTCTTTATGGATGACGACAAGACTCTTGAGAGGAGTCTTCAGACCAATGGAGCGGCGCTCACGAGAAATACGGCCAAGTTCAATAACCTTCTGCATGCGAGCGACCCGGCGCTCAACAACTTCATCGAAAAGCTCCTCTCGCACCTCGGGGAACGAAAGGAAGTGAACGCAGCGAGGGTCCTCAGCGTGGAGCGATTCCGGAATGTGAGGGAGCAGACGCTGGTAGATGTTGTCGGTCAGGAACGGGGTGAAGGGAGCGAGACCTCGGACCAAAGTGTAGAGGACTTCAAAAAGAGTATTGAGGGCGTGTAGGGTATCATCAACGCCGTTCTCACCCTTGAGGCGCTTGCGGTTAAACCGAATGTACCAGTTGGTAGTGTTCTCAATCAGGCCCAGCAGACGAGGGACGACAGTATACAGTCGGTAAGCAGCCATCTCTTGGTTGACGAACACCAGAAGACTTTGGCAACTGGCCAAGATCCAGCGATCCATGACGTTGGTGTTGGTGGATTCAGCCTTGGGGTCGAAAACGAAGTCAACATTGGAGTTCTTCTTCAAGAGCTTCACTTGATCCTCAAGGAACCTATAGCTGTTCCACATAGGTAACAGCACCTTGCTAACAATCTCCTTTACACCGCTTTCCTTGAAGCGCAGAGGCTCAGCACGAACAACAGGGGAGTTGATCAAGTAAAGACGCAGCGCATCCGCACCATAACGATCCATGATCAAAGAAGGATCCGGGTAGTTCTGAAGTCTCTTCGACATTTTCTTACCATCCTCTGCGAGAACAATTCCGTTCACAATGCAGTTCTTGAAGGGCAGCTTGCCAAACAAGTGGGTACCAAGAACAGTCAAAGTGTAGAACCAACCGCGGGTTTGGTCCAGACCCTCGGCGATGAAATCAGCGGGGAAGCTCTTCTCAAATTGATCCTTGTTCTCGAAAGGATAGTGTTGAGAGGCATAAGGCATGCTACCAGACTCAAACCAACAATCGAAAATCTCAGGCACACGGCGGAGGACACCCTTGCCTTGCTTGCTGGGGATGGTGATGTGGTCCACCTTATCACGGTGGATATCAGTCAGATCGCCCTCGTAGCCGCTCAGCTTCTTGAGCTCTTCGACTGAGCCAATCGCCACAACCTCCTTGTAGTCATCGGAGACCCAGATGGGCAAGGGAGTACCCCAGAAGCGGTTTCGAGAAATGTTCCAGTCGCGAGCGTTCTTGATCCAGCTAGCAAATCTCTTGTCTTTCACAAAAGATGGAACCCAGTGGGAGTCTTCAATACCCTTGAGCATTTGAGGGATGATGGGTGTGACCTTGACGAACCATGAAGGCACAGCACGGTAGATCAAAGGAGTATCGGAACGCCAGCAGTATGGGTAACTGTGAGTAATCTGACTTTCAACAACCATGCGGCCTTTAGCCTTCAGGTGCTTGATGATTCCCTTGTCAGCGGCCTTGACGTGTTGACCCACGAAATCCCGGATTTCCTCGGTGAAGCAACCGTTCGGATCAACAGGGTTGGGAGGCAGACGCTTGTCATTGATCACCTCGTGCGCGAAACCAACCCGGTAATCGTCCTCACCAAAGGCAGGTGCCTGGTGAACAAGACCAACACCATCATCTGCAGTGACATATGTATCATTCAGAATGCGGAAACCGTGGTCTTTGAATTCTTCATAGAAGTAGTCGAAGAGGGGCTCATATTTCCATCCCAGCATGTCTGAGCCCTTAATGCGGTCCACGATCTTGAACTTGGCCTTCTTCGGGTCCTTGTAGAGTGTTCGGAGCAAAGATTCAAGCAGAATATAGTTTTTCCCGCTCGCCTCGTCGAGAACCTTGATGTATTCGAAGTCGGGGTGGGCACAAATAGCGATGTTAGAGGGGAGACTGCATGCTTTGTTAGCATTTGTGCCGTATGAAATGGAAGAGATTCACACACGTCCAGGGAGTAGTCGTCCAGATCAGAACGTAGGTGTTTTCCTGGCCGATAATAGGGAAATTGACCACAACCGCAGGGTCCTGTACATCCTGGTAGTTTTGAGAGGCTTCGAAGTTGGACAGAGCTAGGCGAAAGTAAAGAGAAATTAGTCAATGCACATGCCTGCAGATTGTTGAAGCCACTTACTAGTCGCGAGCGCAGTCGAGTATGGCATCACTCGATATCCTCGGTATACCAAATCCTTCTCGAAAAGCTAGGAAGACAAGTTAACTTCTGCTTGAAAAGGTGTTTTGAATTGGATGATGTACCTGCTTAAAGACCCACCAAACAGATTCCATAAATGTCGGGTCCATGGTCTATTTCACAAGGGAATAAAAGTTAATAAGAGCATTAAATGCGACGTGAAATATTGGAGACTGCTAACTTACCTTGTAGGGCTTGTCCTCCATATCGATCCAACGGCCCAGTCGATCGATGGTGACCTTCCAGTCGCCAGCAAACTTCATGACAATAGACTTGCACTCCTCGTTGTACTTCTCAATTCCAATCTTCTCAACCGCCTGGAGACCGGACATGCCGAGCTTCTTGTCAATCTCGTACTCGATGGGGACTCCGTGGGTGTCCCAGCCGAACCGCCGCTCGACATAGTATCCCTTCATTGACCAGTATCGGGGAACTATAACCACCAATTAGCACTTTCTGGAGATAAAGTGAGGCCCTGCGTACCAATATCTTTAATGGTGGAAGCTAGAAGATGGCCATAGTGAGGCTTTCCAGTCGCGAAGGGAGGACCATCTGAAAACGACCATGGCTTGTTATCTTTTGAGAGCTCAACTTGACGCCTAAAGGCATCAATCTCCTTCCACCGTTGGAGAACGATCTCCTCCTCGGCAGGGAAGTCCATCGACATGGTGATGTTGCGATATCGAGTGGAATGACAATGAAAGAAGGAGAGTAAAAGAGAGCGTGAGTCACCCCCGCCATTGGACATTTTTTGCCAGTGCGCCTTGCGTCCTAACGTACCCCTCCCCGTTCACCGCCTCCTATTTTTGGCATAATACCAAGTATACAAGCTGTTGTTAGAGTCGATCACTACAAAGGTACCACAATTCACATAATATAGCAAATATTCGGGGCTTGTAATGGTATACACAAGTGAAGTAGTGTTCAGGTACAGGAAGAAATGGTAATTTGAAATTGACAGGTCGGGTTTCGCTATACACGGATTGAACACAGAACCATCTACTCGTCTTCATTCTCTTCATCGTCTTCATCATCATCCTCATCCTCTGAAATATCTTGGCCAAGATCCTTGAGTCGTTGCTAGAGGATGTTAGACAGTTTTCCACATGTGATGATAGTAGCCATACCTTATCTTCGGTCCGCTTAGCCTCCAGGTCACCAAATACTATCAGCAAGTCGTCCAATTCCGACTGGGTGGCTTGACGGGCTTCCTCCTTCTCCTTGGCCTCAGACTGAGCTTGTTCAAGCTTGGCCTGGGCATCTTTGAGGTTCTGTGTGGCCTTATGGGCTTGTGACTCAACTTCTTGCGTCTTGCGTTCCGCGTCAGCAGTACGTGTCTCGAGCGCAGACAATTTCGATGAGAATTCTTCGTTGGCATTCTTGAGCTCTTGTGCCGCTTTTTGCTGCGCCTTATCGAGATCTGCACGCAAGGTCTCGATGGTCTTCTTAAGATCTCCCGTTTCGGATTTTTGCTGGCCCTTTGCGGACTGGATATCCTTATTGGATTTCTGCTTGGCGCTGTTCAGGTCCGATCGCAAAGTTTCGATGGTCTTCTTCAGCTCAGCAGTTTCGGATTCCTGCTGTGCCTTGGCGGTCTCGAGTGATTTGGCGGCCTTTTTCTTTTCTTTTTCGAGATCCGAT